CTAATAAGATCTCCCATATCCACACTCGCACTCACATCCACACCCACCCACCCTCAAAATGCTATAGATTTCTTAATAAAACATTTCTTGCGAGCACTGGAAAACAAATGTTAGGTCAGGATACAAGAACAGTCGACAATGGACGTCATAATCAACAAAAGAAAACAGATCGTCGATTGCTAAAGATGCTTTTCGTTCAAGTTCTTATCATTCTTACAATCACTCTTCCACTTGCTTTATCGAAATTGTATACAACATTTACAAGAGACACACACAAATCAGCAATACGAAATACTATCGAAAACTTCCTCTTTAATCTATTTCTTATTCTTTCAAACATTGCTTCTGGAATACCATTCTATATTTATACATTGACTGGAGGAAGTGTATTTCGAAAAGCCTTATTCGATCTTGTTAAATATCATTACGTCAGAAGATGAGATTGTGATACAGTTGGTTTCTTTGATTGAAATAAAAATAACTTTAACTCAGCACACATATGCTGTGTTTTGTCAATAATCTACTAATATCATGTTACAATTCATAGTTTGATAAATAAAATGAGGGTATGGGTGAAGATGAGAGTGTATTATTTTTTAACATTTATTTTGTTGTCCCTATGAACTGCGGCTCATAATGTTTGTTACGATGAAAAAAACAAGCGAAAGAGAACAATAACAATAGTCATATGAAATAAGTTAAATTATCCAGAGAGAAACCGATATTTACAAAAGAAAATCATTCGTATCAGCCGGAGACATCTTTTAAAATAGAAAAATATAAAGAATAGAAGTTTCGTCGAAGGAGGATAAAGAAAGAAAAAATGTGTTGATGATGGTGATAGATCTGATACAGTAAAATGAAAAGAGTGTAGGTGGACGCAAATGTTTGAGTAGTCCCTCATCCACAACCACACCCTCAAGAAGAGAGCGATTTTAGAAGCTGAAATTTTTTATATTCCTATATTTTATTTGGAGCTACATACTAACAAAGTTTCATTGAAATCGGTGATATCAATCGAGCACATGATTCACCTTTGAGTTATTCATATCTTGCACTGATTCATAGGTGTGTTGATGTGATGAGAAGTTATTTTTTTTTTATGTGCATAGTGTTTAGATAAAATATTAGTTAGTGGGTATTTTATTATTTGCATTGGTTGCATTTTATATTGCAGTTAAAATAGTCAGGTGCGAGATTAAATTTAAAAAAGGTTTGTATATCGTCTAGAACATTCAAGTTCTATATCGCATTTATACGAATGAATAAGTATTTAATCTAATATTTATTAATTTATTTGTAAGTTTCTAGATAAATGTCAATCTTGTCGATGGATAATCTGCCTGTTGAGATTCTTCATCGTATTTTTGATTATCTCGATGCGTCTGCTATTATTCATTCAGTTCGGTGTCTTTGCACACGACTCCATGCGATTGTTAATTCCTATGATCGTTTTCAACTCAAGTTCAATTCAACGAAAAAGTCTTATTTAAAAGTCATATCTCGTCTTGTTGAACCGTCAAATATCATTTCACTGATTTTATCCGGTGGCTATTATTATGAAAATCGCATTAAATTGTTTCTCATAAATTTCAACATTAGTCAATTTACTAGACTTCGTTCGTTGACCCTTATTGAAGTCGACAACATTGAAATCAACCAAATTTTGCAGCATGTTACCTCTAATTCTCTAATCTCACTAACAATCAATGTGCGAGGGCAAGCGAACAATGCAGTCTTTTCAATTATTTTTTCATTTGTCGTTCAAACCAATCTTCAAAAATTATGTTTAAGTAATCTGGATTATACAAATATAGAAATACCATGGCTAAATCAAAGTAAATTAGAACAATTGACAATTAGAGATTGCAGTTATCACGGATATGGTATCATTCTCTCTAACTTACACTGCTTAAAAACACTTATAATCAGAAACTGTCTTATGGATAATACTGACCAAAGGACTTCTTCATATTCAGTTACAACATCCAATTCTGCCAAGAGACAACGTACTTCTATTGATTCCACAGGTACAGTCAATTAAATATACAGCCTTCAAGTATCATCTATCTCATCGTACAGTTACCAATTTTTTTCGTTTACATGAATTTCGTGCCTGACTTATACATAAATAATCAAGGCGATCTAGTACGATCCTTTAAACAGCTACACTACTAATATGGGAGCTATTCCAAGTGATACTCATTCTGTGAGCTCATAAAGAGGTATCCCATTGAAATAGTTGCTCCATAAGAAAATGACCTGTTCAGTTTCCACTCTACTATATCCAACTGCTCCTTTTTACGTATGTATTTTCTAAAACCATGGAGAATCAAAGTACTTCTATACTTCCTATTACTTTTGTACTGATTGAGTTTTGATTTGTCAGTTTTGTGAAAAATGTTTGATCTTATATATTGATTTAATAGTGTATTCACAATTGATTTCATTGACTATTGGTGATTGTCGAATGTCAATGGAAGACCTCAAATGCCTTCTTTTACTGACACCTTCACTGGGCCATCTCAAACTAGTTTTATCTAGATCAAAAATTGATTCGATATTTGATGGTTCTTATTGGGAGCAATTTATTCAAAATAATTTACTTTTACTGAATAAATTTCAGTTTTTATTCACTTATTATACCAATAAATTTAATGATACCCATACTTTGGACTCACTTATTCTACCATTTCAAAGTTCGTTTTGGCTCAACGATAAACAGTGGCTTGTCACTTGTGACTATATTCTAGGAGAGTCGAAAATTCGACTCTATACAACATCGGTCTGGGAGAATATCGAAACAAGATTTCCTAAACTTTTAATATCGTCGATAAATCCTAAATGTCGCATGATTTTGGATTCGAATGAAGACATGGATTATAACAGTAGAGAAGGAGTAAGTTTGAAATATATTTTTCATAAAAAAATGGCCCTAAACGTTTTAGCTACGTAAATTCATGTTTTTCCTGTATTGATAAATATTTTTTATCAGACATTTTTGTAGAGTAGAATATGTATGGTTTAAAGTTCATCAATTGAACGATCATGTTCCTGTGGATGATGAGTTCTTTTTCCTGTAAAATTCAGAGTTTCCTTACATTATGCCATCTAATTCAAAAATAATATGTTTTCCTTAGTTTTCCATTCATAGAAATAAAGTGAAATACACAGATGTCTGTGACGACACTCTAAAATTTTTCATCAAATCCATTTGTGTTATCTCAAGGAAGACAATGTTTTCATCAACTACTCACACTTGAAAACGTTTTTGGAATATATACGTCACATCCCATGTCTTCTATTAATAATCAGAAAATTTATTCAGTTTTTTAAAATATTGAGAAAGTAGTCGGTTTAGTAAGATAATAAGACATACTGTCTGTACTGTACATAATTAATCAGCAGCATACAAAACCTAAGCGTATTTTCCTAACCTAAATGCATACTACGCTATTCGTACCTCACTCATTCTTCAGACAGATCAAACAGGAATCAATTTTTCACGACTAGTCTCAGTGCCTATTATATCCGTGATTCGTCATTCTCCTTCGTTTTTCATAGTATATACTCTTCTGTTCCCATTTAGACACACTCTACATTAGAGCTTTCCCGCAATCGATTCGGAGACCATGTGATACAACATATAGCTGGAGCACTACTCAACCACAAAGTGATACATTTTTCAAATACTTTACATTTAAATTTATATTTTATTTATTACTTAGACATTAACCACGCTTGATCTTTCGTATAATGAAATCAGTGATATTGGAGCACAATATCTAGCTGATGCGCTACGAAATCATCAGGTGACATATTTTTCAGACTCCTGTAAATTATATTTCTTTCTTACGCTATACACAGATACTTATCACACTTGATCTTTCTCACAATCGAATCGAAAATAATGGAGTCGAATATCTGTACTATGCCTTTAAAGAAAATAAAGTAAACCTTCGACGCTTCTCATTTATCGTAAATATGTTCATTCTTTGACATAGACACTTATCAAATTGGAACTCCAAGGAAATCCTAGTAGCTATTGCACAATTGTGAGTGTAGCAGTTAAAATACAAAACGATAAAGTAATTCATTTCTACCAGATTATTTATGGTGAATTTTGACTTTTCTATAGACAATCACTAAAATGGATCTTAAAGATAAGAGTATCGGCGACAATGAGATAAAATTTGTGAGCGAAGTATTGCACAACAATGAAGTAACATAGTTTCTTAATTGTTTCAATAATAATCATTTTTTTTTGTTCTAATAAAGTCAATCAACACGTTAAATCTTTCGCAAAATCAAATCGGTGAAAGAGGAGCACAGCATTTAGCTGACGCATTACAAAATAATCAAGTGATTGACGATATGAAAGATATTATTTTTATATTAAATTTTATCTTTGTGTATAGACATTAAAAATATTAACACTTTCGCATAATGAAATAAATGATATTGGAGTACAATATTTAGCTAATGTCTTACAAAATAATACTGTAAAATATTTTTTGAATTGATTGAACTAGGAATAATGATTTTATTTTTAAACAGACAATCACTTCAATTGATCTTTCGAGAAATCGAATTGGAGATACTGGGGCCAAATATTTGAGTGATGCTTTGAAAAACAACAAAGTGATAAATTATTCTCAATCTTTTTATTGCTCTATATATTTACATTATTTAACATCT